TCAATTTTTTCAATGTTTTTTTTGTTTCAATTTCGTTGATTTCTGCTCTAATTTTAATTATTTCTTCTACTACATTTGCTGTTGTTTTGCTTTTCCTTTTCTATGTTTTTGAGGTGTAGTGTGAGTTCATTTATTTGTTGGTTTTTCTATGACAACTTTTAAATCACATTTTTGAGGTTGATTTAGGTTCGTAAATACTTGCTAGGTTTCTTAGAGCTGCTCAGTCCATGGAATTTGAATTATTATTTTGTAGTCTATTCCCAGAGATGGCATCTTCATTTATTGCCTTACTTTTTTGGTTCACAAACACATGTTGAATTTTTAAATTCCATTATATCTGTTTCAAGAAAACAAAAATGTTTTGTAAGAGAGTTGAAGTATTCACGGAGATGACAAGGTCCACTCCCAGTGTTAGTAGGTATATTATTCTAAATTTTATAAATTGTATCAGGGTTTTCTACATTCTCTAAAATCTGTATTTTAATGCAAAAATATGATACTTGTGATTTTTAAAAATCTAACTATTTTTATTCTTTGGATTTTAAAGGCAATCCAACATCCAGCAGATGAGAAGTTGCAAGAGAAGGCATGGGGTGCAGTTGTTCCACTTGTAGGAAAATTAAAGAAATTTTATGAATTTTCTCAGAGGTTAGGTAAGTTGAAAGTTTGTAATTATTACTTCCCTAGTGAAAAACATCTCTAAGGTCAAAATTATTTAAGAGTATTTCATGTTCACAGTACTAAATTTGGCTGGGATCTGCTTATAATCCCTATCAACCCAGGTCTTTGAATTATTTAGATCATTTTCTGAACAAATTATCACAAGAAAATTTCATAAGAAAATTGCTTTTATTTCTTTATGTACTAAAGGGTTTTAGTTTGAGAAAACTATTTGAAAGAGTTTGTCTCCAACTCTATAGTCAGTCCTTCCCTGTAAGATTTTTAAGAACACAAAAATTTGAATAACTCATGGGCCTGAGGAAGACTGTTAAATGTAAAGAGAGTGGTTGTTTATATAAATTCTGTTTATTACTCTAAATAAGAATTATGATTTATTGTCCTAAGTGTAAAAATTAGTTCTTTTACAGTATCTGCCTTTCAATCAAGTATCTGTATAGTCTAGCAAACCCTTGTACCTCTGTCACCTTGGGACCTTTCATCTCAGTTATTTTTTCTGTGTATTTAGAGCTTTTCCTGTGCTTAATACATAGGTGCATGTGCAGTTTTTAAAGTGCTTTAAGTGATCTTGGCCTCTTAGCATATGTCATTTAAAAAAATATAATAATTGAAGTATAGGCCAAACAAGTTGGACTTCAGTGTTTTCCTGTATTTAAATCATAAGAAATAACCAGTCTAGTGGCACTGTTCCATTTCAGCTGAGGAACGTAGTAGCACAAGTAAATGCAAAAAGCTATCCATCTTGCTGTTAACATTTGGAAACCCTGAACCTTCATAATTGTACACAAGGGACTTCTCTAAAGTACTAATTTAGGATATATGGTACCCTCATCTTTTGATCAATAAACCTGGTTAATTATATTTTCTAGTTTCCTAGCTGGCAGAAAGCATTTCCTCTCTTGCACACAATAGATATTTAATGTTTGTTAAATGAGTAAGTGATATATTGATAGATAAACACACCTGATACAGCACCTATGTATTAGGTATTTAGAAGCAGTCATAATAGTAATTTTAGGCTTTGGAGACATAATGGCCCATGTTATCACTTATTAGCTGTGTGGTCTGGATCACATCACTGCACTTCACTGAGTTTCAATATTCTCTCGGGATCTCCTGTTTATTCAGTTCTTTCCATTATGTCCCCTAATCCTTTCTCATTTCATCTCTTACTGCACTATTGAGCCAGAAATGAAGATAAATTCCACAAACAGCACATGGAACACCACATGGATATCAAGTTGCACATGGTCCTTCAGAATCTTTTGATCCTATGGAGATGTTTGTGTGAACTGAGTATTATAATCACCAGGGGTTATACTCCAGAAGAGGGACCCTGATCCTTGCTGGTTTATATATTTATATGTAGAGAGGCAGGGCATGTATCACCTGACTAATGTGGAAGGTACAGGGGATTTTTTTTGTTTGTTCATTTTAAGAAGATACTGAGTTTTGCTAACAGGCCTGGGGAATTCTGATACTTGCTTGCTTTGGTCTGAGGCCTTGGAACCATTCTTTTTGAGACAACTACCTGGTTGAAGTTCTGTGATCACACAGTAGGCACATCAGTCTTGCCTTGGTCTTCCTTCTGCACAAAGGGCTTATTTTTGGGAGTGCCCCTTGAGTCATAATGAGCAAATCCATCCATCGTATTGAGTTTGTGTCACTGGGCTAAATTTATTTAAATCTACATAAAAAGTTCATAGTACCCATAGTAATTGTGGTCATGTCTGCTTACTGTCTTAAAGTCCCTGTCCACATTTGAGTTGTTATGTGAGGATGCAAGGGCTAGTGTTTGTGAATGGATGTATGGCATTTGGTGAGAACAGATAGCTGTTGTCTCTAAAGTAAAACTCTGCAGAGACCTCCTTTTTGTTTTGCCATCTCATCTTCCCCCTTCTGGTTCTAGTCTGTGAACTGATTTGTCTTCATTATTTCTCCTAGTTGTCTTTTTCTTCCGACTTGACTTTGTAGCTTTGACTCTCATTCTAAAACAAGCTGTCCTTTATTTCTTTCAGAATTCAGAGCTTAGTAGCTCAGTGATTTCCTTCTGTCATCTGCTTTTCCTAAAATTTCTAACCATATGGTTTTGTTTTAGGAGCTTCATTAGAGTTTAATCCCTGAATCACTTCTTTTTTGACCATCCTTTCTTTCCAATTCAGCTAGAGACCTGGGCCACCTTCTGTGGAGTCCTTTGTCCTTTGTTGTTTTTGTTTTGTTTTGTTTTGTGTTTTTTTAGTTGAACACAATATCTATTTATTTTTATGTGGTGCTGGGGATCAGGGATCGAATCCAGGGCCTTACCCATGCTAGGCGAGCACTCTACCGCTGAGCCACAATCCTGCCCTGTCTTAGATTTTTAAGGCAGGAAATTGTAGGTCTTGTACCAGCACAGACTGCAGGGTGAGAATACATCCAGCAGCTTTATTTTTTTTTAATTTTCTATTTATTTTTATTGTTCAAATCACCTTATTAATCCAGCAGCTTTAAAGGCAGAAAAATAGCCTTACCAAGTTAAGTTTCCCTCTTGTAGCTCCACCTATGAGGACTTCAGCCATTCATAGAGATAAAGTTCTGTAGCTATTGGTCACTGGCCGTTGGAACTAAGTCACATGACTCCACTCACCAAAGTAGTAGAACATGTGGAATACTGCTATTAACCCTGAGATTTAGCTGGGCATAGTGGCACACACAATCCCAGCTATTTGAGAGGTTAAGGCAGGAGGATTCCAAGTTTGAGGATAGCCTAGGCAACTTAATAGGAATCCTGTCCCAAACTAAAACATTAAAAGGTATAGAGTTATAGCTTAGTGGCAGAGCACCCTGGTATCAGATCTGTGGTATCAAAAAAAAAGAAGAAAAAAACAGAAAAGCAAACAAATACACAAAAAACAACCTTGAGACTTGATTAAATATAGGCAAATACAAATTTCTTCTTCTCTTTAGCATCCTATAATAGTTTCTTGTAATATCTTTCTGTTCTTATGTTTTTCAAACTTTACTTTGCACTTATATTAACACTGACACATGAAATGAATCTTGGGGAGAAGTAAATAGTTTTTTTCAAAATAAATTTTGTTTTTCTTAATTGGTCTTCTTCACATAAACTCTTAGATCTCTGTTACCTCTGTCAATACCCTACAATCCAGTCTCCACACTGCAGGTGAAGTGAGGTTTTAAATACTAATCTGATGATGTCACTACCATGTTTAAATGGTTTCTCCAGGGACATGGGAATTATAAGGCGAGAGTGCCTGACATGGCGCATGCATGGTATATGTATTGTCTTGGTCTTTGGTTACACTCTTCTTTGCCCTACCTATTCCACCCTTATTGGTCTTCTTACAGTTCTGTGACTGTCGTGTTCTTCTCAGCTCAGGGTCTGTCTTCCTGCCCTATCTGCAAACTCCTGCTCATTCTTATGTGCACTCCAATCTCAACCCCGATGTCACTTATTCAAGGAAGTCTTTTCCTGCCTTCAGCTAGGTGAGGCCCATTTGTATATTTTTCCACTGTTTCCTGTACCACACACTCTTTTTTTAGCTTTTGTCACAACTGGAATCATATCTATGTATAATAAGGCTCTCTGTGGGCATATATCTTCCTCTGTTCTCAGAGCTTGGCATAGAAGAAGCAGTTAAGTTTTCTGACTGACTTAAAAAAGGTTAATAGCTGCTATTTGGAGCTATTGTGTGGATGGAAAATAATGTCTGTGAAATGTCTAGTTCAGTACCTAGCACATAATAGATACATATCTTAAATAAGGTTACTGAAGACTACCTAGAATGTTGCTTTATTTGGAAGAGAGTTTATTAAGTTGGACTTGGGAGTTAGAAACACCTGGCATTTGCTAACTATCACCTTGTGCTCTAACCTATTTCAGACTCAGTTTATACATCTGTAATGCCTAGGTCATAGTTGATGGTGAAAGTTAAATGAGTATCTACTTTAAAAAATGCAGGGCTGGGGATGTGGCTCAAGCGGTAACGCGCTCTCCTGGCATGCGCTGGGTTCAATCCTTAGCACCACATAAAAAAATGAAGATGTTGTGTTCACCAAAAACTGAAAAATAAATATTAAAAAAATTCTTTCTCTCTCTCTCTCATAAAAAAAAAATGCAGTGTAGGGATCTTTACAAAAGGTAGAGCTGGTTCTTTCTTAAGGGTTGATCTGACATAAATCTATTAATTTATCATCAATATTTATTAATCTGACATTTATTTATGTTTTAGAGAGAGAGAGAGAGAGAATTTTAATATTTATTTTTTAGTTTTTGGCGGACACAACATCTTTGTTTGTATGTGGTATTGAGGATCAAACCCGGGCCGCACGCATGCAAGGAGAGCGCGCTACCGCTTGAGCCACATCCCCAGCCCTGACATTCATTTATTAATGTTGTTATATCATCATTTAACTCTAAACTTTATCTAGTATCGTTTTCTGATTCTGTAACCTTATAACTAAGTTTGAGGGTTTTTTTTTTAAGTGAAATAATGGTTTTTTCGTTTTTAAACATAGTATTTATTGATCTTGCATTCCAAAGGTGGAATTATTTCAAAGGAGCTAATTTGCTATTTAACGAATTAGAATATTTATATTACAGTCCCAAATGCAATGCCCAAAGATAACCTAGGAAGCTTATTAAACCCCGTATTTTGTTCCTAGTAACTAAAAGAAAGAAGATTGTGTTTATAAATAAGTGGCGTATTCTTCAAAGTATAAGAAGTTGGTAATCAAGTCATAGCCACATAGATTTGATTGTGGACATAGTGCTATTGAACAGGTTACTCAGCTAGAGGTAATAATTACTGTTTCATAAAAAGCAAATTTTATACTATGTGGAATGGTGAAAGAATTTAAATTTGCCCTTCATTCCTGATGTTATTCACATTCGAATTCTGTGTTATTTTGAAACCTGGGTTTACATATTGAATAAGTCCCTTTTAAGTTTCATTGTGTTAAAAAGTATTCAATTTGAGTATATGCAATATATGACTAATGGCAAAATTTAAACTTCTTTCATTGTTTTGATTATATGTAGGTCATTTGTGTTTTAGAGACCTTTTTTGGAATTGAAATCAAAACATTTATGAATTGTTCACTTTTTAATAAACAAATATTAGAGAGGTACAAAAACCTTAACATTTTTATCTTTCTGTTAGAAGCAGCATTAAGAGGCCTTCTGGGAGCCTTGACCAGTACCCCATATTCTCCCACCCAGCATCTAGAGCGAGAGCAGGCTCTTGCTAAACAGTTTGCAGAAATTCTTCACTTCACACTCCGGTTTGATGAACTCAAGGTAGAATTTCTGCTTGTCGTGGTCAATATTAAAATCATGTTTTCCAATGAGTACTAGGAGGAAAAGCCTGGAATCCTTGATAAAATGTGTTAAATGATGTCTAACTAGACTTTAGCATGAATGGAAACTGAATTTGAAAGTATGACAGGTCTTTTGGTATAAAGAGCAAATCATCTAATATTCAGTCTTCATATTTTAAAATCACTTAAATAATAATACTGAATATTCTTTTCTAACGTTTTTTCTTTTCTGCTCATCCCCAGTTTTTTGCACCATTCTTTTAACATAAAATTGTTAAAACTTTTGTCCCTCCCCCCACAACTTTTTTCTTTACTCCTTTTCTTGATCTAGCTAATTGTAGTATTTATAACTGTAACTATTATTGTTATCCTATTGTTAGAAGGGTTAGTGTAGAGGAATAAGTTCTGGGTTTTACATCAGACCTGACTTCAGTTTAGGCTCTGGCACAGTAATCAGCTATGAGACCTTGGGTTGGTCCTGGGCACCTTGTCTAGAAAACGAAAGAGCTAGATTGTGAACTTGGACATTTACAGTTGTATTATAGACGGTTATAATTATTTTATTAATATTTCTGCGCACAAATGATTTGTATGTAAATTTTAATTTGCTTGAGGATTATTGCCCTGTTGCCTATGTATATATACTTTTATCCAAAACAAGTGCCTCTGTATTCCTTTTTGGTTTTTTGTTAATGTTAATTTTTTTAAAATATACTTTTAGGGTAAAAAGAAAGGAAGGTGTGCTTATGGCCCATGACTGAAAAACAGTCTGTATGATTTCTGTATGTTCAGTTAGGACTGAGTACAGTCTTTTAAGACTTACTGGGTGATATCAGATTCGTTCTTAAAATGACATTATAAAATAGACAACATTTACATAGCTAGTTAAAACTTTATTTAGTAGGGTTTTTTTTACTTAAATTTTACATAAGTATCCGGTTCATAACAATTTTTTCTTTCATAAATGTCTTCTTTAGATGACAAATCCTGCCATACAGAATGATTTCAGCTACTATAGAAGAACATTGAGTCGGATGAGGATTAATAATGTTCCAGTAAGTTAATGCTTTGTATCACAGGGTTGGTAAGAATAATTCTTTTCTCAGTCTATTTATTTTATTCATTCATACAGCAAGTATTAAATTTAGTGATTAGGGACAACCACAGCTGTGGGAGGAGAAAGCAAATTGTAACAAACCATGTGCTTTTTGCCTGTTTTTCATTTTAGTCTTTTGAACTCCCACCACTACTTCAGTAAAATTGCTTTTTGTCTGTATAATATTGATACTATAACTTTCTCTGTGTATTCTCATTTTAACTGAACAGAAACTTTTAACATTAGAGTATGAGGTTTTCTGGTCCCCATATTCTTGGAGTGGAAGACTCCTGGAGAGAAATTGACCTGTACTAAGAGAAATAACTGATGTTGACAAGAGAGAAGAGTGAGGTCATGGACTGTTAGCACATCTATACCTCATTATGACTGAAGAAAAACGGCTTCTGGGCCTGTTCCTTGGCTGGTGCAGCTTGTCATTTATTTTTCTTCCTTTTTTTTTTTTTTTTTCCCCTCCTTTTATAGGGGATTGAACCCAGGGACACTTTACCACTGAGTTACATCCTTAGCTGTTATTATTATTTTGCTCTGAGGCAGTGTTTTGCTGGACTCAAACTTGGGATCCTCCTACCTCAGCCTCCCAAATTGCTGGGATTATAGGCATGGGCCACTGCTCCTGGTTCTGCTGTTTTCTTTAGGCCTGTTAATCTCTTGCCATTCTCCTTTTTAAAGCTGCTTAGTGCTCTTTTTTCTTAAGGAGTTTCATACCATAAGTAAGACATTAGACATGAAGAAAATATTATCTTCTGCTTTCTGTATTTTGAGAATCTTCATTGATATAAAAAATAGAGAAATTTCAAAGAACAACCCTAACCTCGGATAGGTAATTTAGCAGAGAAATGCTATGTGAGGAGGAAAGAGATTTAAAAAACAAAAAAATTGCAATGGAACCATTAATTTTTTTCATTGGAAAGTACTTATGAAATAACCGCTCTAAGACAGGCCCTGCTTTAGAGGTAATGATTTCTCTTCTATGAAGGATCTGTTTTTTTGCATCAGTTTGGTTTTATATAGACCAGTTCCTAATGTGAAGTTGACTTTTTTAATAAAATTAAAACACCCAATCTTTCTGTAGTCATCCTTGCCCCTTAACTAGAGGACAAAGGACATTACAGACATCTTTGTACTGTTTCTCACTCAGTTGTTATAGGTAAAGCCAATAGTTTCCAAGTGAGATATCTTTCAGATTTCTTCCCCATCCTCCTTTTCATCTCCTGCCACTTTTATCCCAATGGAGCTCCCACTTCCCAATCTTATATGGTCATTCTATAGCAGCATAACTTATTTCTGACCTGCAGTCTTCTTACTTTTGGTACAATTCACCTACTGTCATGAGTTAAATTTCATTAAAGAATTGACTTGCTGTTCTTCCAACACTCTATGTGGTTCCCCATTCTATTTGGAAGGATAATAGGAACTTAAGTTAGCATTATGGCACTCTACAACCCGACCCCAGTTTAAATCTTTTGCTAGTTGCTGCCCTGCTGTTACACTGATTTTGCTAAAATTTATTCCACCAGGGCATTTGAAAGCATGCTTTTCTCTTTGCTGGTTAGGAATACCTTGCTCATCTATCATAATTCTTAGTTTCTTCTTATCTAACTCAGTATTTTTTTTACTTCCTTTTTCTGTCATTGCCTTTTAGCCGGGTGGACAGGATATACTTTCATAATTATCTCTCTATCCTCCATAGCGTTTAGAACAGTTACTTGTATGTAGTAGAAAGTCCAACAAGGTTGTATTTAATTTTTAAATATCATTTAAGATATTTTAGAGGTTAATCTTCTAAAGAAACTGCTTACTATCATTTGTAATTTTTTTATTTTTTTAAACAATATATAAGTACTTTGCATATGTGAGGGTCTGAAATATAATTTTTAGAGGTATTTATTAGTTTAATAAACATTAATGAGGTAGGCACTCTGTCTTGGTCCTTTTAAAATATTTTCATATTTAATAATTAATAAACTAATATCAGGCACTCTTTACTTTTTTATTCAGGCAGAAGGAGAAAATGAAGTAAATAATGAATTGGCAAATCGAATGTCTTTGTTTTATGCTGAGGCAACCCCCATGCTGAAAACCTTAAGTGATGCTACAACAAAATTTGTATCAGAGGTAAGTATTGCCTAGGAAAGTATTCTTTGCACTGACACTCTTCCACCTATTGCAGACATGATGATCGCAGCAAGTCTCATGATTTTAAATACCTTCTCTACAAATGTGTACATTAAATCCTAACCTTTCCCTGAGACCCACACACACAGGTCTGCCCACCTGTGGGCAGTCTCTCACTGAGGTATAGTAGATACCACAGTGATTACATAGCCTAATTGTACTATTGGTTGTCTTTTTCAACCCTGTCCTTTTCCATTCTTGTCTTTCTCAATTAATAGTACCACTGTACAAACAAAACTTTTGGGGTTATCATTTTAAATTCCTTTGTTTACCTCAGTCCCCACATCTATCTTATCAACCAGTCATTTTGACTTGTCCTCAAAAATATATTATGAATCTGAAAATCCAATCCATGTTATTGCTACCTACTCAGATCAGGCCACCACCCTGTCACCTGGATCACTGCATCCAAGCTGCAGTTGCTCTTCAGTTTTTCACTCTTAGCCCCACTATAGTCCTTTCCCTGTATAGCAGCAGATAATCTTGAAACATAAACTATTCTATTCTTAGCTTAAAATGTGACTTACTAATACCCTTAGGATAAAATTCAAATACCATTTGAGCCTCCAGCCCATATCTGCATGGCCACTCTTTTTCTCCCTCAGCTAGCATGTAAGCACTTTTGGGGACAGCTGTATTTCAAGTTTGGTAGAACAGTGCTAGTGCTTAGAATCTAGGGCATTATTTAGAAAGTTAGGAGTAAATAATAAAGTTGCTAATTTTTCATATTATACTAAGTTTTAAGTTATTGTTAAATAACTTTTGTCACTTTTCTTGTTCTCACACTTACAGAATAAAAATTTACCAATAGAAAATACCACAGACTGTTTAAGCACCATGGCTAGTGTATGTAGAGTCATGCTGGAAACTCCGTGAGTATTTTAGCTGACCTTTTCACTCCGACAGTACTGTTGAAATGATTAGTATTTCAGAACATACTTAAATATGCACGGTTGCCAGATGCCCCACACTAGGAAGACTAATTAACTGGTCTTTTAGGAGCAGGAATTGTGTGGTGGTCTTTTGGGCAGGGGAGGGAGTAAGGGAAAAGCTCTAGTTACACCTGTTATAAAAACTGTTTATTTCTGTTTAGAAAGAACCTTGCCTTTTTGCCAGAGGGCTTTTTATCCCTTTCTCTCCTATTAGTTCTTTACACTTGAACCTGAATTCTTCTCTGAGAATGTTTTCCTGTCAACAAGCAGAAAGAATCCCTCTTGGATTTTTGAATAATATGTTTTTTATTAGGTAACTTTTTTTGTTTTGGTGGTACTTTTTTAAAAATACTATTCTCTACCTCATTGGAAAACCTCATGAAGCAGGAAAACAACTTTCCTCTTCCTCCTCCTCCTCACATCAGGGAACAAGGTCCTGAGAAATGAAGGACTTCATGCATGATGGCCAACCCACACATGTCTGGCTATCCCTGGGCTGGACCTGGATGCTCTCTGCTATGCCATACTGCCTATCATAAAGATGTTCATTTGTTTTTTCCCAAATGAGAGAAGAATATTGTTAAATTTTAGTAAAGTTCAAACCAAGTGTTATGATAATACATTTAGATCAAGCTGGGTTCTAAAATAGCAAACCAACTTGCTTTGTTAAGCTGGTGACTTTTCATCATATTATTGGCAGTAGTTATTGTGTAATATCCATCCCCAAACTGTTACTCAGAGGCTACTTTTGATTACTATAAAATTATCACTGCCTGTCAAGCAGAAGGGTTAATATACTAAGGTAGGTGCACATGGAAACTAGAAAATGTGACTATTCCACCACTTTCTTCTCTCTGGGGACCTCATTGTGGAGAAAAGGGCTTAATGTTAACAAGCCTGTTAGAGAATAAAGGGAGAAGTCAGTATCAACTGAAAGTGAAGTCAGCTAAGAGTTTTGTGATGTGCCTCATCTTTTCTGCCCTCCAGGGAGTATAGAAGCAGATTTACAAATGAAGAGACAGTGTCATTCTGCTTGCGGGTAATGGTGGGTGTCATAATACTCTATGACCATGTACATCCAGTGGGAGCATTTGCCAAAACTTCCAAAATTGATGTAAGTTACACATTGTTTTATACAATTCCAAACAATTTCTTACATGAAAACCTCAGGCTTTTATTTAAAAAGCTGGCAATGGACTCTCATAGAACCTAATTATAGTCTGTGATAATGATGGATTTTCTGCTTTTGCCATATTTCTGGTAGCTTATTTACAAGTGGAATTTAGTGATTGAAGGAGAATGTATTGTTGTAGAATGTCTCCATAGGGTCCTTATACATATTTGGCAATATAAATAGATAATCAAATAAGCAAAATTTTCAAATTATGTCCTTCAGTTCCTTTGGCCAAAGACCATTTCAAAGAAAATGTTTCTTTTCAAAGTATATACTAGAAGTCAGCAGTGTAAGAGTTTACTTATTTTTTCTCCCCTTTCCATTCATAATAATTTGTGATTATAGCCAGAATTCTACTTTCATTGTCTTTGTAAAAGTTTATATTAGAAAAAAAAGTCTTTTTCTGGTTTCTCTATTTTATTAGAGAAAACAATTACTTATTATTTATAAGTAATTATATAAAATTTATTTTGTCACCCTCTCATATTTCATTTGTCAAAATCTGACTAGTATAAGTTCACACTTACTGTGTGTTACCATGTCCCAGGAATTTTGCATTTGTTTTCCTGTGTCACTGTGACAGTCCATTTAGGATATAGGTGTTATCTCCTCTTCACTACTAGTGCAACTAAAGATAAGGAAATGAAGTAATAGAATTGTTAATGAATGGTAGAGTGAGGTGTTTAAACCTGCATTCTCTGGTTTCCCAAGTTCTTTTTCACATTAACCAGGCTAATCTTCTTAAGGACCACCTTCTTTGAGTTGTTCCCCTTTTTAACAGTTATAGTGAGTCCCTGTGCCTGGCCTGTCAGTTCTGCATGGTCTCTATGACTCCCCTCTCAGTCCTGCAAGACCTGCAAAATTCCTGGCTGCCATCTGCATGCTGTGAGGCCTCAAAAGTGCCTCTTTTCCTTGCTAGCATATCAATTCTGTCCTTAAAGTTGCTACTTAACATCTTTTCCAGGAAGTCTTCCCTTAGCAAACAGTTCACTTTTCCTTAGCGTGGGTGGTACTTGTAGTTTGACTGATTTGGTTCTCAAAAAGTTAAGTCTTACTGACAAACTGAAAATAACACTTAGGTATAGGTGTGTGTGTGTGTGTGTGTGTGTGTGTGTGTGTTTCTTCTTCTAAGAATGAATGATTTTCGGCTAGGGTTGTGGCTCAGCGGTAGAGCGCTTCCCTAACATGTGCAGGCCCTGGGTTCGATCCTCAGTGCTCATAAAAATAAATAAATAAAGATATTGTGTCCAACTAAAAAATAAATGTTAAATAAAAAGAATAAATAATTTGCTGTTTCTAAAATTTAATCTCTCAAGTTCTAAATTATTTGTGGTCCTGATTTATTTTGTTTTATTGCTTTGAAAATAAATGTTAGATAAAAAAAAACGTATTTTGGTTTTTCTGTTTGTTTTTTTTTTTTCCTTAGATGAAAGGCTGTATCAAAGTTCTTAAGGACCAACCTCCTAATAGTGTAGAAGGTCTTCTAAATGCTCTCAGGTGTGTATGTACACAAACATATGTATAGAAGAAATAGGTTAGAAAAAAATGTTTCAAATGTGAATAGTATGGATTCTGCCATTTCAGCTGAGTAGAAGCTTTGACTACTTTTATTAAGATGATGGGAAGTGCTATAGAAGCAAAAACTGACTGAATAAAGATCTATTCTAAATGAACATAAGAAGGATTAGGAGCTTAGTTTTAAACTTTTTATAATGTAAAGCTATTTTAACCATAAGCCTCATGTTTAGAATTTTGTCTCTTGAGGTTTTTATAGCACATACTTCATTGGTTTTTACCAATCCGGTGTTTTCTTTTCGTTCTTGGTTCTTTTCTGGATACTCCCGTTGTCTCATCCTGGTTCCCCCATGTCCTTTTTTTTTCTGATGGGTCTGACTCTGAAGCAGCAAGAGAAGGAAGTCTTCTGTTAAAACAAGAAATTGAGATCTAGGAGATTTGGTTATTTTGTCACCTTGAAGGAAGTATGCTTCAAATATTAGGTTAGAAACCTAGAATCTAGTATTATTTAGATTTTTAAGGGTAATTTGGTCCCATTTTCCTTAGAGTTAGGACAAAGGAGAGCAGTGTTGGTAAGGGAGGGATGGAGTGAAGGAGGAGGGGAAGAGGAGGAGTTAGCCTCCTTGGAGGCAGAAGGCACCTATCAGCTTTGTTAAGCTTTCTTTCCAAATATACAATGGAAAGTAGAAAACAGAATTTTGTGATAAAGAAAATTCTTGAACTCTTTGGTTTCTTACATGAAAAAAAACATGTCTTGGCACCACATGTTCTTTTTCACCTGGGAAGTTATATAAGCTTAGTCATTATACTTGGACGCTTTATAGTAGTGGTTATGGTTAGTACCATTTCATAGCACCATAAATTGATAGTGAAATTTCATATATATGTATAAGAGTATTTTTTGCAGCTCACTTAGATAGGGGTGGGTATCAATATTGACAGTATCTCCATTATATGAGCTCAAAATTACCTTAAGTTCTGAAGAACCAGAGATTATACAGTTAGTAAATGTTGGAACCTGTTTTCAAATTCAGGATTTCATTCTTGATATTCCAAATACTTTATGCTGACCCATTAAGTCTTGGGTTTATCATGTGTTGAACTTTAGTATGATCACTTGGACAATTGTGAAAAATGCAGATTCCCAAGTGACCACCTTCAGAAATCTCTTTCATTAGGTCTGAATTGGACTCAGGCACTTCATTTTAAACAAACATCCTGGCTGATATTTTGAGAAACATTGCTTAAACTAACTTGACCCAAGCCTACAATATGCTACACTCAGCAAATGAGATAATGTTAAGGAAGTATTTTAGAACGCCAAAAATATATTATGCAAGTGTTATTTAGAGCCCTATAAACTAGAATTTTCCTTTAAAGAATTAATGACCAGAAGATTTTAAATGGAAGTATAATTGCATCTGTGTCCATATGTATATTTTGAGTGCTGTTCTGCAGTAATTATATAGTATCTACAGCTTGCCGTATTCCTATTTAGAGAAAGTAACAGGTCATGTGTACATTTTACCTGTGGAGAAATGGAAGCAAATATCTTAGTCATGAGAGGTTGAGTAGTAGATGAGTGGCTTATTAAATTTAAGAGTAAAAGTAAATAATAGTTGTTTCTTCAGAAGAAAAGTCATACACACTTGGAAAAGGACTTTGTTTTTATGCACAAAGGGAAAGAACAACAGACTCTTCATAACGTTATTTTCACATACATTTGTTATTATTGGCTTTTTCTTAATAAAATAGTGATGTAGACTGACTCTGTCCAGGGACAGCTAAGAATGGCTAGAAGCCAGGGTCACATCTACAGAAGAGATTTGTGTTATGATAGATAGAGGAAAACACTCGAGTTCTTTAAGTTTCACAACGTGGGGTTGGGGTTGTAGTTCAGTGGTAGAGCCCTTGCCTAGCATGTGGGAGGCCCTGGGTTCACCCCTTGGCACCACGTAAAAATTAAATTCAGTTATTGTGTCCATCTACAACCAAAAAAAATTTTTTTTTAAAAAGTCACAGCGTATTGCATAGAAATATTTCTAATGCTTCTGCAATAAATTTATTGTGTACATTGCTTGTTTTTCCAACATAGGAGAAATGGAAAAAAAAACAGAAGGGAAGAGTTGAATATCAGAACTTTGTTTACTGACATCAGGAGGATCATGTGTAGCTTTATATACTTTATCTTCATACTTGTAATAGAAGGGCTAAGTCTTTGCCATATATGAAATTACTACCCATTTAATATAAATATTCCTCTATAGGTTTTTCTTGCTAGCTTGGCAACCTACCTTTTCTTTCTACCACAAATATTGATAGAACCTCTGTTATGTACCAGTTACTCTGGTGTTTATTCTATAATAAAAGAACAGGTTAGGAGTCATTTCTCAGTGACATCATAAAGAATACTTAATATTAGGTATTTTTTAAGCATGTGTCTATCTCTTTGCCTCACCAAAGATCTCTGTGAGTAAAGTATTCAAAAATTAATACTTTAATTTTTTAATTTATTTGAAATAAACATCACAGTTGACTTTAAATTCCTTTAACAGAGAAGGATCATCTTTGTGAACTTGCTTAAAATGACCTAATCCTTAAAAAGATTATATATGAAATTCTTTTAAACCAAATTAATTTGTATGAATTATCTCCAAAATATAACTCATATTGCATATCTGTCTTCATTCTTACTAATCCAATCAAGCCTTGGGCATCTGTCTTGATCCTAAGTAGCAGGAATCCTATGGTGAATCTTCATTCACCATTTAGTTGGGGGATTCTTAGTTTGGATTTGCATGCTCAAGTGGAATATATCTGCTGGAAATAAGGTACTTAAAGAGAATTGAGACATTTTTAGGGATGTGAGCTATAGTCTTTGAGCTATTTTAGTACAGAATAGAACAGAGCTGTAAGGGACCAGAGAGGAGGTAAGTAGTTCAGGCTTTCTGGGCCACATGGTTTCTGTCACAGCTATTCAGCTCTGCCATTGTGGCAATAAAGTAACCATAGATAATAACATTAATTAATCAACTCAGTATATTCCAATATAACTTTTTTATGTTAACACTGAAATTTTAATTTCATATAATTTCCATGTTAACATCAAATATTACTATTCTTTTGATCTGCTTCTCCACCGCTAGCCATCCAGAGTAAAAAAAAATGTAAATATGCTTGGCTCACAGGTCATTCACAAATAGGTAGTGGATTAGACTTGGGCCCTAATTTACCAGCCATTGTAATAGAACCATTAACTTTCCTCTGAGAGAAAGGTTGCCAGTTGTGTACTTGTGAGTTGAACCAATCGTTTCAGCAAGGTAGTTGTAATTAAGTGAAACAGCGATTGGCTATTCTGTTAGGTGGTGAACAACCAAAACTGGGTAGCTGCAATGAGAATGCCTAAATAATCTTGTGAGAGATGTACCTGACCAATTGCTCATTTTGTTGTAATCATAGAACTGGATATGGATTTTGTTTAGTTCCCTAATTGATCAAGGTTTTCTTTTAGGTACACAACAAAACATTTGAATGATGAGACTACCTCCAAGCAAATTAAATCCATGCTGCAATAACTGTTCTGGAGTAAGCACCTGCTGTAGACAGAAGACAGTATTCTGCAATGACTGAGAATGCAGTTTTTTAGTGATTGCAATTACTATCTCATTTATTCTTGCTTTTATTTCTTTCCTCGGTTCCTCTTCCCTCTTTTTTAATCATGTTCTTGTTCTTAAGACTTCTTTTCTGTGCCAAAATCAGTAAAATTATACTCTGAGGGGACGTTGTCCTTTCAAACAGGCCATCTAAGGCAGCTAATTATGCATTGCATTGGGTTCTCTACTGAGAAAAATTCTGTGACTTGAACTAAATATTTTTAAATGTGGATTTTTTTTTGAAAACTAATATTTAATATTGCTTCTCCTGCATGGCAAAACTGCCTACTCTGCTATTTAAAAAACTTCAATGACTTTATTTTCTACTGCCGCTTTTTTCATGTGCAGCCAAAATGAAAATGTTTAAATTAACTGTGTTGTACAAATGGTACCCAACACAAAACTTTTTTTAAATTAGTTAAGACTTTTGTTTAAAGTTTTAAGTTTGCATTTTGACTTTTTTTAAAGGATGTATGTTGTGTGTTTAACCTTTATTAACTAACGTTAAAAACTGTGATGTGTGCGTAGATATTACGTATGCATGTTCATGTTTAAAGGATGGCTGTTGATGATAAAATAAAAATCAGCTTTCATTTTTCTAAGTGTGGTTTGGTTTACTGATGTTTTGTTTTTAGGCTGGTGAAGTTTTCCCCTGTATAGTTTTATGGAATGCATATATACATTGCATAATTTTTCCTTCTGTTAGGGTATAGACAGTTGGGTCTCTAGTATTGTCTATGTACATCATTTTAATCGCTTTTAAAACTGCTATGTATATAAGCCCAGGATCTTGTCATTAACTTGCCTTCTCTTCTTGATTTATTCTTCATGGACATAGTGATAGAAGGAAATGCACGCTTGCTTGATTCTCAGTTTCAGGAGTGCAAGGGCAGCATCATGAAGCATGGGGTGTGGAAGGAAGAGTGGCCCTTAACACTGGGAGAAGAGTGAATAGAAGAGGGACTTCCCAGGAGGCAATTAAAGGCCATGATCTCAGTGGTGGTAGAAAACTAACATGTTTTTTAGTTTAAAGGTCATAAAACCTAAATCATGCAATCTGAATCTCTTGGTTGGGAGAAGCTGCTTGAAGGTTGTCTAATCTAATGTGGCAGTAGTGTAATACTGTTAAAATACATACTGAGGTATGTAATACTGTTAAAATGTGTAACCATGGAAGAACATCACTGCAGTTCCCACAAAACCTTCTGGATTCATCCACCAGATCATGGCACACACAGCCCTTCCTGACCAAATTCCTGCTGACTTATCTGGCCTCCTGCCTGATACTCTCCCACTTCACACCCAGTTCTGCAGCCGCACTCAACTCCTTGCTGTTCACAGATCACTCCACATAACGTCCATAATTCTGATCTGTCTGGAACCTGAACCTGGTTTCCTCTTTCTCCTCCTTTTGTATCTGACCAATACCAACTCTCTTTCAAGGATCAGTGTATGTTACCTCCTTCATGAAACTTTTTGGATAATATTGGCATCTTTCTAGGCATCGTCTAAGAATATTGTAATGGGCTGAAAAGTAACACACACCCCCAGTACATCTCTCTGGAATCTATAAATATTACTCCATTTGGAAAAAGGGTATTTGCAAATGAAAATAAGAATTTAGAGATGACATCATCTTGGACTAGGATTGGCCCCAAATCCAATGACAAGTTCTTAGAAGAGAAAAGAACGGGAAACACACACAAAGCAGAAGCTAGCCATGGAAGGATGGAGGCAGAGGTGAGCAGTGTATCTACAAACCAAGAAACTCAAGAATTGCTGGAGCCACAGAAACTAGGAGAGTCGTGAACAAGGTCTCCCTGAGAGCCTCCAGAAGTTTCCGACCTTGCTGATGTTTTGATTTCAGACTTCTGTTCTCTAAGACTGTGAAGCCACCCAGTTTATGGTAATTTGATACTATTGCCTAAGAACTTAATACAAGTATCTCATAGAACACCTCTGAAATATAACTGCACTTTGGGGTGTCTTTTCTGATACTAGAAGCATAATGTCTGGAGAGAAGAGCCACGTCTTAATTGTCCTTCAGTGACCCAAAGAAGGAACTTGCACAGTACCCAAATTTGAATAGGTGCCAAGAGAATGCTTGAATAGCGTGAATGGATACAAATAAATAATGATTGAAATAGAGGTAGTGATACTGCTGTGGTCTATTTGGTAATATAGTTCACAATCTGCATGTGGAAGAATAAGTGGGAAAAATCCCTTAACTCTAGCCCTGAGGTCAGCAAAAACTGGTCTGTGGGCCTGTTCACCCAACATCCATTTTTGTATAACCTGTGAACTGAGAATGGCTTTAAAAAAAGGTTGGAAAAGAGAATAACAAATGGTTTTTTAAAAGGTTGAAAAAATATTTTGTAGCATGATAAAAGTATATGAAATTCAAATTCCAGTGTTCACAAATAAAATTTTATTGAAACATTGCCTCACTTTTAGTTTATATATTATTTTTGACTACTTTAGCATTATAGCAGTAGAATTGAATTGTTGTGGTCCTCGGGCAAAAATATTTACTGTTCCTCTACAGAATTTGCTCATCCCTCCCCTAGTTACCAGAGAAGGTTATTTGAAGACCTCAAGTACTAGGAGCATGGTGCTGCTGTGGGATAAAAGGAGTCATCCCTGCTGCCAGATGGTTTCAGCTTCGGGTCTAATATTGCTGTTCAGATAGCCTAAAGATAGCAAGTAGGAATCTTCTCACCTGCCACATCTCATCTCTAGCATCTGCCATTTAAATGGATAATCATGGGGCTGGACACAGACTGATCAGGAAAGAGGGCCAGGATTAGTTGGCAGGGTCTGCCCTGCCTTTTGGGGAGAGGTGTGGCCCCATTCTGATGTAGGTGAAGTTTATCACTCTTTAGCTGGCCCCCTCTTACCTCATAGGCAAGCCCTCATGCCTCTCTCCTCACCACAGTGAGGTAAGGCATTGCATCATTTACCAACTATACTTAACGATTATTCATTGTCCCATTTCTGCATCCCTCAGTGTGAATCAGTGACATGTAACTGATCATTTTCTCACTTTTAAAAGATTTGGATTAAAAAGTGTTCTTGACTAGCCAGGTATGTGTTGTATACCTGTAATCCCAGTGATTTGAGAGGCAGGGGGATCCCAAGTTCAAGGGCATTCTGGGTGACTTACGATCCTGTCTCAAAAGTGGGGATGGGGATGTAGTTCAGTAGTAGAGTTCCCTGAGTTCAATCTGCAGTACTGAATTTTAAAAATAAAAGATATTTGGGGCTAATAAAAGGTTGTTTTATATATTATACTTGTCCTAAGAACAATTGGCATTTGTGCTCAAATTTAGGTCTTTTGAATTAGTATGCCATTCCAGCTCTGTTTGAGGTTGCAGTAATGGCAATTCCAAAAATTCTTATAAAGTAATCCCTTACAGAACATACTTTAAAATCTTTAGAATAAGATAGACCATGGAAGATATAATGGGAAGGTCTGTGTTGAATCGGGAGACCCCAGTCCTGTCACTTCTTAGGAGCTCTGTTTTCCTCACCAATAAAATGAGAACTGAAATAAATGATCTCTAATATTGATTTCCATGTCACACACAACACCTGTCTTTTCTCTGCTGTCTGAAAAGGTGAAAGTACTTTAGCCAGTGTTTGGCCTCCCTGGCTTGGATTAAATTTCATGTCCTTATTGATAAAATGAAATAATCCTAACATCTTCCTCTCACATCAGGTATGGTGGTGCACACCTGTAATCCCAGTAACTCTGCTGAGGCAGGTAGGATTGCAAGTTCAAGGCCAGCCTTAGTAATTTATTACCCAGGCCCTAGACAACTTAGTAAGACCTTGTGGGGATGTGGCTCAGTGTTTAAGTGCTCTTGGGTTCAATCTCAGTACCAAAACCAAAACAAAAGCTTCCTCTCTAGGGTGACCGCAAGGATTATGTTAGTTTATGTCCATTACATCCTGTGCATGTAATAAATGCTTAGTGTTAGTATTGACTGTGGTCTATTTCAGATAATCATGTTCATGAACATGCATTGTTCTTCATTTACCCACAGTAACCAACATACTAGTTCTAACTATTTAGTTAATGCTAGGTAATTCTGCACATTTTTTTTTCAAGTACTGAGGATTGAACCCATAGTCTATACTAGGCAAGCTGTCTACCATTGAGCTACATCCCCAGTCCATTTTAAGACAGTCTTGCTACATTACCCAAGCCAGCCTCAAACTTGTGATCCTTCTGCCTCAGCATTCCAAATAGCTGGAATTGCATGAGTGCATCACCAATCCTAGCAATGCTGCACAATTTAATCCTTTAGAAAGATACTGTAACTACTAACAAAAATTTAGTGTGTGATAACAAGTTTTCTAAATGGGCAGGAGATTACCTGCATATTTGCAATTTGTTTCTTGCAGTGTTGGGGATGAACTCAAGGCCTTGTGCTTGCTAGGCAAGCACTCTACCATTGAACTATATATCTACAGCCTGTACAACTATTGTAAACATCAAGCTCTAATATATGATATGTTGCCTTAGCACATTCACAAGCAGTTTTTCTGTCGATAACATTTAGTAAATAAGAGGCACACATAATTTGTATCCTAGGACAATAATGATGGGTAAGAAGCACCAGTTTTCGGGTACGCAGAGAGGACATTTGGGATCAAGGAAGCCATATGTTCTCTAGTATCCAATCTGAATATTAACACAAAATACCAGGATCTTTTTCTCTCTTTTGTTTTGAAGGGAGGTAAAGTAGGTAGGTAGGTGCCGCAGTCTTGGCTGGGCACAAAATCACGAGCCACTCACAGCTTTGTAGATTCAAACAGCAATTCTTTATTCCCAAACTCACACCGGCCTCTACACACATTCTGGGGAAATCCAAGTTCTGCCGAGCATTCACCTACTCCACCAGGCTTTCCATCCCTATTCCCAGCAGGAATAACCTTAAACCTGGAACTGCCTTAAACCCAGATTGTCTTAAACCCCGGGAATGCCCTAAACCCAAATTTTCTTAAACCAGGATACTTCCTAAAACCTGCAGGATACACCCTAAACCTGGATCCACCCTCGTCCTTGAGCAGGGTCACCTTTCTCAAACACACATGCAATGTCACAGCGAATTTCCAAGGCAAGTCCATTTAACATGGGGTACGCTGGCAAGGAAATTTCAATGTGTCATTCCTACTTGGCAATGGCCCTCAGCAGGTAGGTAGGCAGTTGTTAAACAAAATAGCAGGATCTATCCATTTTCTCTCTCTCTCTCTCTCTCTCTCTCTC